ACACCCACAGTCGGCGGATGCTACCTGGATCTACTCTGTCATCAGACCTGCACTGCACTCGGATCTAACCCGGATGAAGCGCACGGCGCTCTACTCCGCACACAGCACCAGACCCTACGGCTCAGTAGTCTGCTCTCCTAAACTTTACCATACAGGGACTGTTTCTACCTCTAAGGCACTCCCCCTCCCCATACCCTTAGGAAAATCGCTAAGCCCCGCCCTAGGGCGCCACTTCCCTGGCTAGCTCTCTCTCTCTCTCTCTCTCTCTCTCTCTCTCTCTCGGACCAGCAGACCTTGCGCAGGGGCGTTCCCAATAAAGGCTCTACATTTCTGTTTTCTTGCATGACCAGCCCATTCCTTATAGTACCTGCGAGGAGCATGTGCTCAGGCCGCCTGGACCCTGCCACTGCATGGCTTGCAGGCCTGGACAGCCCCTGCCCCACCTGGGTACCCCTTCTGAGCTCAAGGCTGCGGCCTGGGGCAGAGCCTCCCCTCACCAGGTGGGCAGGAAGTGAGTCCAGATGTTGACCGTCTCGTTGGTCATTTGGAAGGTGCTGAGGACACAGTCCAGGGCCGAACTGGTGGGTCGGCGGTAGCCGGACACGATGCTGTCTTCCCAGAACACCTGGGGAGAGTGGTGGAGGCGGGGGCGTCACTGTGCTGCGACCCACCGCTCTGCGCAAGATCTCTAGAAGCAGGGTTGAAGAGGACGGTCTGGAGATTACAATGCCCCCAAGTCACACAAAGCAGAGCCCCTGGCACCAGCAAGTGGCGTGGTGGTTAGGGTGCTGGACTCCCACATGGCTGATCAAGTTCGAGTGCTGGATCTGGTGGCTTGCTTGCTCACTTTCTCTGTGTGTGTGTGTCTCTCTCTGGTCAAATTAAAAATAAATGAATATGGAGGCCTGGCAGGTGGTGTGGCAGATAGGGGCAATGGACTCCCACATGGCTACCATGGTTCGAGTCCCGGACCTGGCAGCTTGCTTTCTCACCTTCTCTCTCTCTCTCTCTCTGTCCCTCTGGTCAAATTAAAATAAATAAAGTTAAATTAAATAATTATAAATAAATAAATATGGAACCAGTAGGTGGCATGGTAGTTAAGGCGCTGGACACTCCCATATGGCTGATCACAGTTTGAGTCCCAGACCTGGTGACATGCTTTCTCACTTTCCCTCCCTCTCTGTGTATCTCTCTCTGGTCAAATTAAAATAAATGATTGCATAAACTGAACAATTATTAAATAAAATAAATGAATACAATCACATGTTTAAAGAATTTTTATTTATTCATTCATTTATTTAAAAAAATTTTTTTTGAGTTTTTTGCTACAGGGCACGTGTTCTCGCCAGAAAGACAGAGACAGAGAGATAGAAAGCGAGAAATCACCCCTCAGGGGGGAGAGCCACACCGTAATCCCTTCTCCTCCATTCTCCTCTCAGGATCTTGGGCATGCACGCACGCACACGCGCCCGGCGTGAGTTTAAGCCACCGGGT